GAGAGAGAGAGAGAGAAAGAGTCAGAAAGAGAGAGAGAAAACCCTCTCTCGTTCACGCGTTATAAATTCGGCCGGCAGGCGAAACGGACGACCACCTGACACCCGCGGCCGTTGGCGCGATGCCGCGTCGCGACGCCGGTGGCCACGTCCGAGGCACACTGGAGGATTGAACGGTAACGATCGATTTATGCCTCGCCGCTGCAGGCGCTGTTGCGGTTGACGCAACGCGTGATTCACGAGGATATACGAGTCGACTTTTCGGGATTACCTCCCCGTTAACGATCCGCTGTCAACCGCGTCGTTGTGCGTACACATGAAAAGCGTTTGTAAACTCTCCGTTCCTACACCGACTGTGGATCTCTACCCGCATAAATGTAAAATCGCTCTACTTACGGATGATACGGAAGAAGTTGCAAAACTCAAAAACCCTTCGCAAAGCCGAATGAAACTCGAGAAAGATGATGAATGTAATGAAGCTGAATGCAAGCGAGCTTGTAATGAATCTCCTGGTTTTCAACAAAAATACTTTTTATAACAATATGTAATCAGGTGGAAAATGAAAAAGTTTTGAATATTTTTATAATATATTTCTGAGATAACTTTTTTATCAAAATATTTTATACTTACTCTTATACCAATTACATTTAATATGCAAAAGAATCAGTGTAAAACGACGAACATTTCGTCTAGAACAATTTGATAAAACTGAGAGATGTTTCATATCTAAAGTTTTCTTTGAGCTTTCCCTACTGAGAATCCAGGCGGCAGCTTTGTGTGTAAGCTGGCTTCTGTAGAACAATAAATAAACAGCGCGTCTCTTTTTCTCTTCATAACAGAAATATAAAATCGTTTTATCTTGAAACTTTTACGGCTGATTTACGTCGTCCCAAATAACGCGAAATAAAATTGCGCATATAGTAAATTTTTAAAAATACTGAAACTGCAAATAGCTTTTAAGCGTAAAATTGGCTACGTGCTGAAAAAAAGTGAATAAATTGTTTTTATTACTACAATTACTTTTTAAATACAAATAATTTTTTCGTTTATAAATATATATATATATATAATTCCATAATATAATTGATAATTCAAAAAGTATTAACGTGCAACGTATTCGAATAATATCCGTAATTGCCAACTTGTACGCATTTTAAATATATGTTTCGTTATTCTGTTTTGTTTACACCACATGCATATTTTATTCCTATTATTTATACTTTTTTTATTACTCTTAAATTACACTTTCTATTCTCACTCTTTTCCACGTATTGATATCGAATCCTTAGGTTTACTAACAATAAATTCAAATTGCGCGAATCATTCCTGCGGAAATAATCGTGATCAAAGTAAGTATTTAAAGTATTATAAAATTTCTATTACAAGCTGGCAGAAAAAAAATTCCTATTAAAACCTTTACACGCAAATTACCCGTGCGTTTCGCGTGATTGAACTCTGGCTATGAACAGGCCTGTCGGAACACATAGACACCGGTTGAGCGGTTGACGAAAAATTGAGGCATTAACGCGGCGTAAAATTTTCTGTGCGGATTTTACGTTGGACACGCCGCGTTGCAGCGGCTTACAGTGGTGGCTTATGCAGCGACTGCACAGTATATCAAATCTGTTTAATCACGAACGTCGTGAAACAGAATAGTTCCCCCTATCTCTCCCTGCGATTCGTACAATGGAAATGGGAGTGCCGCGGCGCTCGACACTCTTTACGCGATCGACGTTAATCCGCCTGCGCATGATTAACACCGCATATTTCGTTACGCAACGTGTGTTTAGGGCTGTCCGCATGATTTCTTCACGGTAATGCAAAAGGCATTCTATAATGCCTTTTCTATTGTAAATAAATGCAGAATTAAGAGAAAGAGAAATATAAAATTTCAAATTTTCAAATTATTAGAATTCCATTTTATCTCTCTGTTTCGTGAGGAGGAGAAAAACTCTACGATATTTCTAATTTTCCAGAAGGACGACAGTATACGGTAGAATCGATGGCACATTTCCCTAGAGGTGATTATAGCGAAAATTGAGAACTTTCCTTACGCTTTGTGCCATTGTCGTGTTATTTCAAAGTACGGAAATGAAAGATATCCACCAACCTGTCATTTGGATGCGACGCGACTTGCAAGCTGGACTCCGCGATGCGCCGACATTCAACGGGAAATTTTATTTTACGCTTCTTGCGCATGCAAGACGCGTTGCTACTCCGATTCCTTGCCGCGGCGAGAAAAACACGCGCGTATCTCGCTCGCCGACGCTTGCGTACCGATGGCGTGACCGGAGGCACATAAATTTACAGTTATAATGGAACTAACTTATTAAACTTGCAAATTACAGTTATATGTAACGCCAACTTATTAAACAAATTGAAAAATTCCAATCAGTCGCATTTAAATAATAAATCACAATTACGTTAAATCTCGTCTTCCACTTGATCACGTTGCTATTTTTATTCACAGTAGTTTAAGTACGTCAAGTATAAATTGAATAAAATGGAATTTCAAACAAATTTCATTTTTAAATTTCACTGAACATTTCAATCAAACTAAATTATCGAGGTCCCCTAAAACGTGCCATTGGAATAAGTTTTTACAGAAATAAAATTGTTTAAATTGCAAGAATTTCTGCCACTTTCCTGGCATATTTCTTCACAATGCATATGACGCTTCGTATTGCAGACGCAAACGGAGTCCCTCAAATCTGCCAAGAGAGCGTATATCCACGCGCGCGCGGAGGCATTAAGCCACGTGTACATAGGGAAAGGACTAATGCCTCGTGTTCAGCAGTCATTAACGTCCTTGGCACGGCGAGTAATTCCAGGTCTTTCTTCAATTTCAAGAGCTAATGCGGGAATAATATTCACCCGGACGCCGTCGGACGAGTGATTAATGGCTCGCGTAATTTTTCACTTCGCCTAGCCGCACTGATTTACATCTTACGCGGATCTTACCTCCTGGCTAAGCGTCACAATGTAAGGCGAGATTTATGTCACCAGGATATCGCCGGTAGAATGAAATCATTAAATCCCCATGAGATGTTTTATTCAGCGTTAAATAGAACACGATGTAAATCACGATGAATGAAATTTTTTTGCCGATAGATTCGCATATTTTTACGGAGCTCTCGCGACACAATTAATCACAGCGCGTGAAAGTGGAGCTTCTTTAGGAAACACGAAAAGACGAGGGGAGGTGTCGGGTTTCGAACTTTCGAAAAGTCTCTAAGGTTTCTAAGGTTTCTAATGTCAAGATAACTGGGTGGTCCATAGGTCCTCAGAATTTTAAGCGAAATGATACATACGTGTATACAACGGTGTCCTATTTTGTCGAGCAAAATATCATTTGAGTCCGCCAGACTAAGAAAAAGGTCAGAAAATTGATCCGAGGGACGGTTGAAAAATTGAGCCTGACTGCCAAGGCATTAAACTCTTCCCGCGGGACCTTCCCCCCCTCCCCTTTGGGCTACAAACGTAAAACAATACCTCGCTAATGGCATGGCAAAGAAGAAGGCATCGGCGGCGCAAATGCGGCGGCAACAATGCACCAGTACCGCAATAACGAACGCATTGTTGGTAGGCGCCGCGACAAAGGGTCCGCATTATGAGACGTATTAACATGTCCGGGCGTGCGCGAACGCATCAAGCTCTGCCCCCTTAATAATTTACTTTCTCGGCTCTCGCGCGCGACGACCTGATCACCGTCGCGTCTACCCACGTGTCGCTCGTTACTGCTCCTCCTTCCGCCTGTGTCCTGGCGTTACGTGACCACCGATGCGCTCGGGAACTCGCGCATTATATTGTACCGTATGAATAACTGCTTTGCAACATTTCAGTCGAACCAAGCTGCAAAATAGTTACCAGCTCCGTCTGTGGTGAGACTCATTCATTTCATTTGTAGCAAGATTATTTGTCACGTCAACTTAACCACGGATAGTTTTCAGAATTAACCTGCCATTACGCGTTTAACAAATATATTTTATTATTTCTTCGAAGATCGTAAATTTGAGCGCCACTGCCTATCAATCTTGTCTTACGATTCTCCAATTCTTTTGCTCCGTTTGTCCTCGAGGACAGTCCTGAAAAATGACACCGCTTTTTCCTGCAGTGCTATCCTTTTTTTCGAAAAACAAGCAGAGCTACATGCATTTCGACGCGTGCGATCGCCTTAAAGGCGAAGAGACCCCATGTGCGATTAAACAAATGGCTTCGGATAGTAGGTAGAAAGAATAGCGTGAAAATTATGTCGATGACAATCTCAGGCAATTAAGATAATGTTCGCCAAGATTTATATACGACCAACATCGCTGTAGTTGTGTCGTAGTTTAGAATTTGTCGAAGATTTAGGTAGTTTATCTTCCTCAAGGAAGTAGAGAGACTTGAAGGATAACAAAAGGTTATCCTCCTTCCCAGCCCCACTTAAATTCCCATTATCTACTTTCAGGACATCTGAATCCTCGGGTGCCCCAAGTGATTTAGATTTCATCTGAAATTGCTTCCTTTCAGTTCGTGTTGGTATACTCATTCAATCTCGGAGCAATTTCAAAGGATTTTAACTTGACTCAAGTAGATCTTAAACTGCGAACCATATAATTATTAATTGTCTTCCTGATGTTTATCGAGGCACTCACCTTCGTACATTTGCGCGTACTGCGGGAATCCGGCAGCTCTCAACCATTTACAAGCTTCTTGTGCCTCGATTTCTGAAAGATAACAGAATTACTAAATTAGCGTTAGTTCGAAAAATTATTGAGTATTTTATAAATTCGCGATATCACAAATTAATAATAGTTTAGCTAAGGTTAAAATAATATTTGTGTACAAAAGTAAAAAAATTTAGCTTTAAAATATGCTAATATACATACATATAAAATAAAAATATCTATACAAATTAATATTGACGAAGTTGATGAAAAAGGGGGAAGACGTGCAGGAAATACGCGAAGTTGATCGCAGAAAAATCGCTGGAACGACTAGAGATATCTTGGAAAGTCAGTGGCCCCGCTGGGACTAGGACGACGGGAATTCATAATCGAGATCCGGGCGATCGCCGTATCCGCAGGGCGATAAAACATGGGTAGCCATCAGTATCGATATCGCCACGGCGGATTTATCGATTTCCTTAGCAGCGGGTAGCCTTCGCGAATGAGCGGCCAATGTCTTTATTTTCCGCCTGCAAGCTGGAGTATTTCAACCGTGATACGCCAGTAGTTGAATCTTTTAGCTCGCTCGTCGATTAATCTATGAACACTATTATACGAGTCGCGCATAGCCGTTATATCATAATTCATATATCAAATATGTTGCACGTTTCGGCATCATTTATGGCTGTAGGTATAATTTATGTTTTTATATAATACGTTATATGTATATGTATTATATTCGTGTATATATACATTATACACATATAATATAATATCTTAATATAATATTTTATTGGAAGGAAAAAATTACGATTTTGTATAGTTCAAAGATTGACAATATCGAATATCTTAGACGCGCAAAATTTTAGTGATATTTTGATGCTTAATTAATTAGATATTTATTAAAAACAATAATTTAGAATTAATATTTATATATAGTTATTCGTTATTTACGAGTGTATTTTTGTAATAAAATGCAACGTGACGACGTCATTGTGGTGCAGACTCGATGAGGGAAAAAAAAGATAAAACTAAGTTACGGGAAGTCACGCGAGGTCGACGACACGAATTTACGTAAGTAGCCATGCGTTTATGTATGTATTCATGTACGTATTCACGTATGCCACTTTATAGACATGCAAATGAACCGTCTCGCTCCTAAGTGCCTACCAATTGCGTTCAGATCTCAAGTCGCATGAAAAGGATGCTTAGGATACTTCTCTTTCTTTCAATCGCTTCTCGAACACATAATGACGTTAATTCTATCGATCGGAAAATTCATTCATCTACCATTTATCTATCTTTAGATTTAGATTATCTATAAGAGAAGGAAGAAGCGAATAATTTATTATATAAACAAATGACGTTCGCGCTTTACAGAATATATATACATATACGATATTTCAATGCGTTAAAAGGGCAATCGTGACGAGAGAACAAGTGGGTGTTTGAATAAGCACGATGCTCGTATAAAGAAAAAAAAAATAATAAAACGAGAGATATGGCAGAAATGTAATCCAAAGAGCGAATAAAAAATTCGCCAGGGAGGATACGAGCGACGAACACGGAGAACAAGACGATGAGGAAGCGGATGAGGAAGAGAAGTTCGCCTTCACTGCCGCGGAGATCGTTACGGCAACTAACGCAGTCGCTCCGCGGACGCGTGGGCGAATTATAATGAGATAAAGTATCTGCGTAAACGTTAAAAATACCCCTTCCGCGCACACGTTGTACGCGAATAATAATGTGCAGAATCGACGTCGCGCGCGTCCGCGCGAGAACGAGAAAGGATATGCGCGTTAGCAAGTAATACCTTCGCGTTTGCGAAAAATTGACAGAGTCAGGTATCGGAAAACTGCAATAGTATCCCGACGTTCGATCATTTTACGGGGCGCACTTATCGAGTACACAGTTTCAATAAAGTCAATTTCTCGGGTTCGGGAGACACAATAGAATTTCTTGTATCAATTTTCACGTTTCCAACGGACGGATCACGTTCCCCGCGCATGGCCACATTATCGAAACACGAACTCATCAAAGTTATATTGGTTTCAACAAGGGGTTGATCGAAATAGCGGTGAAGCCGGGGAATTCTGGAGGGAGCCGGTGGTTTACCATAGCGAACCAATCAACAGATTAATTAAGCAGCTTCCAAATGCAAGTGGGCCTCGATGCAGAAGCCCGGTTGACCGCGCAACAGTGACAGTCGGAGTTATGAAAAGATACTCTCTCTCTTGCTGGAGAGAAGCGCAAACGAAGTTTGCTTTTATCTCGCGCGGAGTGACACACCTACGTGCCGCTTTTGTGCGGAATACTGTTGTAACTGGAAGTTAAAAGCAACGACCTACCGCAAAGTCGTATTATTCCGTAGCAAATTTCTGTCACGCAGCTTCGCGAACGTATATACGAGCGGAAGTGGGTGAGGAGAGCTGTACATACATTGAAAATTATCATCGCCGCAAGGATGAAAGGCCCGACGATCATGAAGCTCAGTCATATGGAATATGTGAAATACTTATTTCATTTTTTTTTCTCCTCGTTTTGTTCATTAAATCAAATAAAGAGCATCGTTATTCATATATATAATATGTTTCGACTTTCTCCAAATATTTAATATACAGACTTTCGTAAAAATTGATCTGGATCGGCGGCGTTTCTTTGTGAAATGAAGATGAAAAATATTCCAAAGGCGCGGATATAGAAACGCCATTACGGCGACATGTGCAAGTAACAAAAACGAGTTCGGGCCTGGCGCCGCGCGGCGTTTTAATCTTGTTGCAATCAGTAATTTCATTCCCTCGCCCCCGTGGGTTTTCTTTGATCCTCGCGGGATGGACATTAATTAAATGGCTCACGTCGATGCAGCGGTTTGTTCGACAGCCTGCCGTTCGTTACCGCATGCGGGGCCCATTTTTTTTTGGATTAAGAGTATCCACACGCATCGTTGATTAATGCGGGACGGCGCGCGTCAGGTTGCCCGTCGCCCGATTTCAAAGTATCGACGATACCCACTTTTTAAACTCCCGATCGTGCCGTTCGATCCAGTTTGCACGCTTACCGAACGGATTAAAAACGCGCAGCATAAAATGCAGTATTCCAATTAAACTTAATCCCCGTCGGTTCGATATTTTTATCTCCGGATGCAACTTTGTCTCACGTGGATATTTCATACATGTCATGGAATATTCGAAAACTCAAGCCCTAGCTGCTATATCTGTTTGTTTCAAAAAGGTAAATAAAAGTCTCACAAATACAGAGGAAATAAAAATATTGTACATTAAAATTAAAAAATATATAACAGACAAAAAGTAGTAATAGTAAGATAAAATAAAAAATAGTAAGTATAAAATATCATTATATTATAACCGTCATATATTAATGTACTAATTTTGAGATACTTTAATATTGAAATATTTTAAATGCTAAACGTTTTAAGATATTTATACTAAATATCGATTCCGAATTAGGTTATTATTAGTCCGTTCGGACGCAGCGGTTTTCCACGAAAAGATACTTCAAACAAAATTTATGCACGCGTTTGACGTCAGTATCGAAGCGGGTCGAGCATTAGAAAAAGCCTGAAGTGGACTCGGGGGTGTAAAAAAGCTTGCCAGGAGCTTGCAAAGATCGAAGTTGAAGGGCAGTCCCACAATCCCGAAATGCACGATTGTTCATGGATTCGGGTCAAATGTATGCATCTGAAATGCATTTTTTTTCTCGCCCAGCTATTGTGGTTTTCATGTAAGTTAGGTAATACCCAGGTTTCCGTTGCGGAAATTCCGCGAGAAAAAACACACCGGCGCGTCGCCCTGCAACGATTACGACCCAAGGAACCTTCCGGGACAACGGTGACAAATTCTTTTCTTCATTGCGAGAAAGAAAACTGACAATGAGTTAAATGGAGCAGAAATATTCACAACTTCTCTACCCTCGAGTTCGTCCGCGATAATCAACGATAAAAACATACCATGAAGATTGCGAGATAAGACTCAAGGGAAGGGAATAAAAAGGAAAGTTTTTTTTCTCACAATATTTTAACGAAATAGCGCGTGTAAACATATATATGTATATTCCTTTGTGAACGCGCGGCATTATGAACACAAAGAGAAAATTTGTAATTTCTGTTCGGAGATTTGATCTGTTTAATCAATAAGTAATCTTTGAAAACAAATAACTGCTTCTTTGAACACACTCCTCGCGACAGATAGCGTAGGTTGTAAGATCCATTATATCCCACGTGCATTCTCCAGGACGCATATTCCATTTAAACGGTTTATTATGACAAATCAAAATCTCTTAAGCGAGTTTATTGATTGTACGAGCAACATCGTCGTATATCCATCGCCAATCGAGCGCGATAAATCGTGACATTGGAGTGGGTCACGGTCCAGCGGATATGTTATTGTTTTCGTATATATTGCTCATCTAACGGCGGACTGGCGCCAAAGATAATTTCTGCCCCGTGGGCGTATACAAACGTATAGACAAGCGTCACGCGTATTGCGAAAACTGTGCCTCGAACAAGGTTTAATTTTCAATGTTATGCAAGCGTCGAAAATGCGGAATGAATCACGCAGCGTAATAATGACCGCGCGCGCGCCAAAGTTTAAAAGGAAAAGTTATACGTGTTGCAGTCGGAGCACAGAGAGAGTTTCGTTTCCGTACCGTATTATAGGACATCATACGACGTAATAACAATATAATTATAACTACAATAATGAAATAAATAAAACAGCCTACACTGCATAATGCATATTCGCGGCAAGAGAAATTTAACTTCCCCTGTAATTATTTTACGTTTATTAATATTTTACGATACCACATATTTCGTGCTTATTACTACTTTGTGTTAAACTTTCACGTTGAAGGAATGCATTTATCTCATATGCATACGTTATTCGTAGAGAGGAAAAGATAACGCAAGGGTACTTGTTGCTCGTCATTCCTTAATTATATATGTCGTGCGAGTCAACCTAGTCAGTTCCTATTTTCCCCATTTGCGGCGCTCACCGAAATTACGACAATATTAACCGCATATTTTAACAATTTTCTACATAGCT